TTTGAATCCAGCTTGAATTTCTGGAAGTTCCCTGCCGATGTACTCTTGCAACTTTTAAAATTATTTTTTTATTTTGGTTCAGCAAAATTTTACAATATTAATGGTAATTGTTTAAGAATTTCTATATCTGTTGAATCACCTTTCTTTGGAATGGGTACAAATATGTATCTCTTCTCAGTAGGCCAGATAACTCCCCCCCACCCCCCATCTCTTGGCACGGGTGAGTGAACATTTCCATTGGTATGTTGAAACATGTCCATTGGTGTTCTGTCCATTCCCTGGAGCCTGCAGTGCATTTACACTTCTTTCTCTGCTTGCCTCAGGGTAGGATCCTTTTACCACACTATTTCATTATGTATGCTAAGTAAATAATCGGGAAAACTGGACTGAAGGATGATTAACCACTTGTAAGATATAGATGACATTGAAGGAAGAAGTTGATCACTGATCATATGCTGACTTCTGAAATTGTTCAGCATTGACCAGTTCTTTTTGATACAGTGACTCTGTATTCCTTCCATCTTCTTTGGATGTTGCCTGCATTATTCAATATTTTACCCATAGAATCCTTCTATATTACAATCTGAGGCTTGAATTTTTTTCTTCTGTTCTTTCAACTTGAGAATTACTGAATGTATTCTTACCTTTTGGTTTTCTAACTCCAGGTCTGTGCACATTTCATTGTAATATTTTGCCTTCTCGAGCTACCCTTTGAAATTTTTTGTCCAGTTTTTGTTTCAGTTCTTCCTTTCACTTTAGCTTCTGTACAGTCTAGCAGTGGTTCTCAACCTTCCAAATGCTGCGATCTTTTAATATAGTTCCTCATGTGCTGACCCCCCAACCATAAAATTATTTTCATTGATACTTCGTAAGTGTAATTTTGCTAGTGTTATGAATCGGGCGGCCCCTGTGAAAGGGCCAATCGACCCCCACAGGTTGAGAACCGCTGGCAGAGCATTTTTCAGAGTTTCTTCTGACATCCATTTGGGTCTTTTGTTTCTTTGCTGTGACCTTTTAATGACCTGTTGGTTTCTTCATGTATGGTATCCTTGATGCCATCTCAGAACGCATCTTGTCATTACTGTTTATTGCATTGAGTCTGTTCTTGAATTGGTCTCTTAAATTCAGATGGGATAGAGACAGTGACTGGCTTAATTACCTAGGGGCATGGCAGAGTTGGTTGGAGGGAGATGATTAAGAAGGAAATGTTTTGGAATTGATTGTGGTGATGCTTGCATAACTCTTCTTAATATTAAACTATTAAATTGTGTGACATGTGAATTATATGCCAATAAAACTATGAAATGTGTGTTCCACATTTTTGTAGCCCCTACTATAATGTGTAAAAAGAAATTCAGGCAAGGATCATCTTGGGTGAGAGGTTGTTGGTATATCTATGTGGCCCCACAGTACTCACAAATCACAAAGGGCTAAATGCACTTTTTGCATTTAGCAAATCTTGCAGAAGACTGTAACCAGATGATCAAACTCAGCATCACTGGGTTTTTTTTGTGATAATTTCTTGGATGCAGTAAACATCCCCAAATCATATACCAAGTATTCTTTCTAAATATGCTTAACTTAAATCAAGTCACTTGTGTATCTGCAGAATTATCTTTGGTGGTTAGAATCACAGATGATTGAAGGAGCCATGAGAGGAGCACTGTGTCTCGTGTCATGTATCTGTCTAGGGCAGTAAGCAAACGTCTGTCCTAGTTGGTTCTCTTAAACAGCTTCCTTAATGCAAATGGTAAGGAGATTGTGAAAACAGCTGCAAACAGTGTTTCCCTGGTAGTATGTAAACAAACGGTAAGGGCCGAGATATGGAACTCTCTCTCAAGGCTATGAGAAATTCAAGTGTGGGAATACCATACATGTCTGAGAACACTGCCAGTATTTAGTACATAAATAATAAAGCACTGCGGGCTGTTGGCGCTGCAGTTTTGTACCGTCTCTGTCTGTGTCTATTTTGTGCTGCAGCCCTGTATTGTCTCTGTGTGTGTGTCTGCGTGTCTATTTGCGTTCCATGTCCATTCTCCCTGCTCAAGATTCCAGAGCCATCATTTGGTGCCCCAATGAGGGACCGGAAAGAAGTAGGGAGAACCTGAAAGGGAAGCGCCTCAGCGGTAAGCGGTGATCACTAGAGGGACTTTCAGAAGAAATAGAAACAGGAAAAACCAAAAGAGAATGCCTCTGTGGTAAGTGAAAATCCACAAGAGGGACTTTCGGGGTTAATAAATAAACCTGTACGGAAAACCAGAAGGGAGTGCCACTGTGGTAAGTGAAGATCCACAAGAGGGACTTTTGGAGGTAATAAATTAACCTGTGTGAAGCAGGGAAAACCGAGAGGGAGCGCCTCTGTAATTACTAGAGGGACTTTTGGGGAGTGGGGGGCAGCAAAAAAAAAGGGAAATTCCCCGTCCACGGAACGCAAATACCAAAAGTTGATAAAAGGACTTCTCCATTCTACAGGGGTGGAGGTTAAAGATAAATTATTGGGAGAATTATTTGCACATGTACAACAACATTGTGATTGGTTTTACAGTCAAGAAAAGGTTCAATTGAATTCGCGAACATGGCAACAAGTAGTAAAAACATTACGCACTGCTCATCAACGGTGACAGACTATGAATTTAAAGCTATTGTCTATGCGTAGTGCTATTACTCAAGCTTAACAGTTATTAGAGACAGACTCGGAGAAAGCTGAAGAAAAAGATAAAGATAAGAAAGGGAATGGAATCCAAAGGGAGGGAGAGGAGTATGCAGAAGTAGTTGAGGAGGAATTAGGTCCAGAATTGGCAAAGAAAGAATCAGATGCTGTGGGAGAAGGAATTGATGTTCAAGGGATTATAAAATTGCTAAAACAAATGCTTAAATGCCAGTCGGCTACCAGCCCTTCAGCTGCTCTTTGCCCTCAATTATATCCTGCGAGGCTTCCCCCTTCGCCGCAGCCAGTTGCTGCTCCATTGCCCGGCCAGCTCAGTCGGTAGAGCACGAGACCCTTAATCTCAGAGTCGTGGGCGCCAAATGATGCTGCAGTTTCTTGAGCAGGGAGAATGATCATGGAACCAAACAGACACACACACACAGACAATACAGGGCTGCAGCACAAAATAGACACAGACAGAGACAGTACAAAACTGCAGCCGCGACAGCCCGCAGTGCTTTATTATTTATGTACTAAATACTGGCAGTGTTCCCAGACAAGTTTGCTATTCCCACGCTTGAATTTCTCATATCCTTGAGAGAGAGTTCCATATCTCGGCCCTTACCGTTTGTTTACATACTACCAGGGAAACACTGTTTGCAGCTGTTTTCACAATCTCCTTACCGTTTGCAGTAAGGAAGCTGTTTATGAGAACCAACTAGGACAGACGTTTGCTTACTGCCCTAGACAGATACATGACACAAGACACAGTGCTCCTTTCATGGCTCCTTCAGATGATCGAACTGTTTGACCTTCAGGAACCTTGGTAGCACGGTGTGTAAGCGTGCCGCTGTGAACTAAAAGACTGGCCATCGAAATCCTCCAGTTGCTCCTTGGGAGAAAAATGCGGCAGGCTGCTTCTGCCTAGATTACAGTGTGGAAACATAAGGGACAGCTCTGCGCCATCCTCAGGGTTGCGTTGAGTCAGAATGGCCTAGACGGCACAGGATTGTTGGGTTTGCAGGCGGTCTTAGGCAGTTACGGTAGTAACTTGTCTGAGTCTCAGAAAACCTTGGATTATGCATTGAGTTGTTAACTGCACGGTCATCCTTTCAACCCAACCATCTATTCCATGGGAGAAAAATGAGAATTCTGTTCCTGTAAAAGCTCTAAAGCTTCAGAAACCCACAGGGACAGTTCTGCTCTTATCGTGTTGTTATGAGTCAGAACTGTCTTGATGGCAGTGAGGGAGGGAGTGCCTAAGAGAGTGACTGAGTGAGTGAATAATTTAGGATGAATTGAGACCAGATTAATATATTTAAATTTTTTTACACATAGGACATAGGTTGATGTATTATAAAAATCTAGTGTATTAATTTGTTCAAATGTGCTGTCAGAATTGGCTCATGACCAGCAAGTATATAATGGAATGAAAACTACATTTCTCTTTTTCTCAAATAATTTACCAAGCATTCGAAAATGTCAAAAATATAATAATAATTTCCTAATCTACCTAATTATTCTATGTAGCTTGATGACATGTCCTATGAATTCTCTCCACTTAGAGACAAAAACTAATGAATTTCCCTTAAGGCTAAAAAAACCCTTTCATCCTAAATGTTAAAGGTTTTAACTAGGAGACTATCACTTCACTCTAAAAATTTAGATCAAACCATATGAAATCACTAATTTTGTAACTCTAGGTGGTCTGATATCAGAACGTTAATGTGACTCATAGGGGGTCGAATGGCAGAAGCTACTGCATTGTGGAGTATTGTTATACTTGTTTCAGGACGTTTGTTCGTTTACACACACACTGTGTACACATTCATGTTCACTTACTAACTCCTGTCTCTTCCTTCTGGGAAATAAAAAATATGGAAAATGAAAGAAGTGTATTCTTTTATGTTTCTTCATTTTAACTCTGGATTGACCTATTTGGATAGGTAGCTGCAGAATCTTGAGAACTTGAGAGAATATTGTTTCACATTTCAGCAGCTTCTTTTCTAAAGGTAACAAGGAAGTAATAACTCTTAGGAATTCGGAAGAAAAGTGTCAGGCCTTGAGGGAGTATTGAAGTTACACTGCACTATAATAAGACTGTTCCCTGGGGTGTGACCCTTGTCAGTAAAGGCCATAATCATTGTCCATAGAAAGCGACTTACCGTTCATAAATAATCTATTCTAGACAAATGTGTATAGTCTCATAATTCCAAGACTTCTTTTTTATCTCCTCAAACAGAAGGAATGCATTCATGGAAGAACTTTCTTCTTAGGCAAATCTGATTAAACCTGTCAATATCTTTATTAACCTCATTTGTTGGCAAACCTAATTACTGCTAATGTGAAAAGTATTGTTCTTGTCTTAGACAGCTGCTCAGGAAGCAATTCTGCATGCATCTGGAAATGACTCATCTAAGGACTACTGCATGCTCTATAACCCTAATTGGACAACTCTTCCAACTACTCTAGAAAATTCAGTAAGTAAACCAGTTTCTATTCTTAAATTGAAAAGTGGAAAAGGTGAGGCCGAGTGATGATTATGTTTTAGTTGCAATATATAATGATTATTTTCTCAAGTATTTTTTTCTTTGGGAAAGAACGTTGGGGAATTTTGAAATACTTCTAGGCCTGGTTGTGAGTTACAGAGCATTTCTCATTTAAGGTATGTTAAATCACTGTACTATCAGTCAGTGCATTTAAGATGGTACCTGTCGTTTTATTTTCAGACTTCCATGAGTTTGGTGAATCTGACTACCACACCACTGTGCAAGCCTTCTGATCTTCCTCCTGGTGGGATAAAGGACACAGCAGTTGTGGTGCAGTGGGGAAACTGCAATTACCTTGAAAAGGCCAGAATCGCACAGAGCGCAGGTGCTCAAGCTTTGATGGTTGCCAATAGCAGTGTCCGAGTAAGTTATAAAACCATATTTGTTTTTACTGTGCTCATAACATCACATTCCAGAAGAATGGAATTAACTTCTCAGTGTGTATGTATTTAGGGGATGCGTTTATAACCGTCTCATGGGGTGATTCTTTTTGTAACTGAAAGTTTTAGATCTGAGGGCCATTTAATTGGAATATTTTATAGCGTTTGTTGTAATCCTAGATAATGCAAAACTATATGAGAAACCAATTACATTTTAAATCCCTAGAACGTCTAGTGGGCACCCCTTTGGCAAGGTCATGGTGCTGATTACTCAGTGAAGTTGATAGTGGCAGATTCTGCCCATTTTACTCATACTCATACACTTATTCATTGTGGGGGGGCTCTGTGCACAGAGTAGTTTAAGTTTGTGCTAAAGGGATTCTAGTTTTCCTTTTTTTGATTGATCAAAGCAGCTATCTAATTTTTCATTTTAAAGAAAACCATGGTTTCTGAGACGTTTCACTTCAACATCTGAACCTTTAGTACTTTCTCCAAAAGGTGTAATATTTATATTAAATAGAATCATTCACACTACTTTATTCCGTAAGTATACTAGTGGTTCATAAGTTTTCATAATGTGATTTTTTTTTTTTTTTTTAGTATTCTCCTGAAGGGAACAAATCTGCATTTCATGATGTCAAAATACTCATTGCATTTATAAACCATAAAGACGCCAAAGATATGAACCAGGTAACCTAGTAAATTATATATTAAATGACATTTATGAATAGTTCAACTCTTTGCTTTTAATCATTTGAATTATATATACTATGTTTACTAACAAGAAACTGTAAAGGCCTACCAGAGCTCCTTTGGGGAAGTCCTCTCCACTGCGCATACACGTTGTCCCTGAGCCAACATATTACACAGGGTGTTTTTCTGTTTGGGCTTCTTTCAGAATCCCCGGTCTCATGTCATTTGTCTTCATGTTAAATTCCTGAACAAAATGTGATTACATGGGACACTGCCCCTTCGAGATTTAGTAGACGACAAAGGTTTAATGAACTAAAGCATCACCTCCTACTTTTGCTGAAGACTGTCCCTGATGGCAGACGCAGTCCTGGTGTTCTTGATCAGCACAGCGTCCACTCTGAAGTGATGTGAGGAACGCTGCTGCCACGCTCTACAGCACAGACACAGCTAATTCTTGTTTCACTGTCGTTCTGCCTTTCAGGTACTTGGAAGCAATATTACTGTGAAGATGTATTCTCCACCACTGCCAAACTTTGACTACACTCTGATAGTTATCTTTGCCATTGCCGTGTTTACTGTGGCATTAGGAGGTTACTGGAGTGGGGTAATTGAATTGTAAGTTTAGTTAAATATTGGTGGTTTTTTAAAATATGTGATTTAAAAAAGACTGTTTGCTGTAACAGCCTTTGAAAGTTTTACCTGACCTTAGAATGTAGTGTCAGTAAGCCCCGCTTGCAAGCTTGGCCTGGTCTAGGTCATTTCTCTTTTCACTGGGAGTCACATGTTCTCTAACTCTTCTGCTGGGGAGAAATCAGAGCAAAGACTTTTTAAAATTAAAATGTTTCGTTCTCTCTCTGAGGAAAGCTCAAGCTACTTAATCTCCTAATATGCCTATTTGCTTAGACTGGAAGCAAATATAGAGGAGAAGTGGGAATTTTTTTATTCCTCTTGGATGTGGACATCACTGTGTGGCCTGTCACTTGGTTTAATTTTTAAGAATTTTAAGACTATTAGGCATGTTTATATTTTAATTTAATTAACCCATTGCTGTCGAATCGATTCCAGCTCATAGTGACCCTATAGGGAACAGTAGATGCCCCCGTATCGGGTTCACCAGTGTGAATCTGTATGAAAGCAGACTGCCCCATCTCTTCCCAAGGGAACTGGTAGGTTCAGATGGCCTTCGGTGAGCAGCCAAGTGCGGAACCACTGTGCCACCAGAGTTCTTACCTGAAATAGAGAAATTCCAAATACACATAAAATTTAGATGTATTTAATAGCACCCTGAACCCACTCTTCATACAGTTAGGCAGCTGGCTCTAGATTAAAGCAGGCAGTGTTATCTAAAAAAGTCAGTTCTTATAACTGATTTACTCAGAACAGATTATTTCATACATAAAGGACAATATATTCCCCTGGGGGCTTTGTCTATAGTTTCAGATAAGAGGAGCTTATTTGTAACTAAATGAAGCTAAGCTTTTTTATAATTTCTCAAATACTAAAATGTAGTTTACCTACATCAAAAAGGAAATCTTAGCATTGAACAAGTATACGTTCCTGGAGTATTGGGCATTAAACATTTTACATATTTGAAAAGCATGTTTCCACATATATCAGCTGCCCTCGTTTGGTGTAAGCAATGTTATTTTTTCATTGCTAATTTTAAAAGGCATAGTGTGTAAGAAAATCTCAAACGTCATTTTCTAGATTAACCAGCGAAGCTTGTAAATAATTTTCAAAAAACTATTGATGCACTGAAAGTGCTTTCACTTTAATGTAGATTTTTGTTGTAGTGCTGCTTGTAGATAAATTGTGCTGCTTCTTACAGTATTGCTTCTCAAACTGGAATGTGCATACAAATCTTTTTAAATTCTGGTAAAATGCAAAACCTGACTTAGAAGGTGTGGGATAGGGGCTAAGAGTCTACATTCTTGCTGGCCCAGGGGCCACCTTTGTGTTGACATGACAGGCATCTGCACCTACTGGTCAGGACACTCTTCCTTGAGAAAATCAAAGATGGGAGAAAAGTTTATGTCAGCTTTTTTATTCAGAAAACATGATCATGGGTCAGGGAGAGAGAATTTTGTTACTTTCTATAATCAGATTATCCTTTGCAGGACCATAGATTTTAGAACTGAGAAGACTGATTGAGAGAAATATAGACAATAAGAAGTTAATGTGTTTGTGTGGAAGTAAGGTCGGGCCGGGAGTAATGATAGAAGAGAAAGAGAATATGAATCAGTGATGATAAGAAAGGGGAATATTCCCAATAAAGATATCATTAAAAATAAAAGGACTTTTATATTTATAAATTAAGAGGATAAGACTTAAGGTAGAGAAAATTAGCCAGATTAAGAATTTATAACCCAGAATTACCCTAACAGATGAAAGTATACTGTATGCTATAGAAAAAGAATTTTGGTTCCACATAAAAAGTTTTCAGCAGAGTTAAAATTTCATGATAATAATATCACTTATTTTAGTGGTCCTCAAGTGTCATGGCCTCAATGTGTCATGGGGAAGATGTGTAGCTTCCCATTGCATATGGTTCTTGAGCTGATTTAAGAATATAGTTGTTGTTTTTTTAAGATGGATTCTAATGTTTTATTAAGATATAAATCTGATGTCTGTTTCAGGAAATTACCTGCTGCTTTTAGTACACTGAATATGATGAATACATAAATATCTAATGTATTATAGCTTCTATGTGGACTGTGATTAAAATGCTTTTAATGTTTGTAATGATAGTTACCAAAGGTTGATAATTTTGCCCACACAAGAACCTCTGACGCTTTAGTTTGAGACATTGGTTAATCCTCTTCAACCAGCTCTAAAGTGTCCAGTGGTAGCTTTCCTCAACACTCCTTGCTTTTACTCGGCGGCCTGCCCAGTGCCGTGAACATTCAAAATGGTAGCCTTCCCAGTCAACACTTTTTTAACAAGCATGTAGCAGGTTGGTAAATGAGCAGTTGGCAAATGTGTAATTTGATAGAAATGAGAGGCTTTCTTTTTTATTTTTAAAACCTGAAGTTTATATTGAGCCCAGACCTGCTGAGCGGAGTGACAGTTTGTACAGATGGAAGCCGGAGTTAGGAGACCAGAGTTGATGGGACCAGCGCTGGAGCGTTATAGAGTGGCCTCCAAGGAACTGAGAGGGGACAGTCGGGTTGACCAAACAGAGGCTGCTCCACTAAGAGCACAGTGTGCCTTTTTCTCTCTCTGCCTTTCATTACCTTTGTGACCCCGCAAGCACTGGGAGAATTAGAAGAAACAGTTTGTTGTCTTAAATTAAGGTAGAAATTTATCTGACACCCTCTTAGCACAGTGATGAGTCCAGTCAGTCTGTAGAACATACTCAGTTGGCTGTTAGGGACATGTGGTGTCTGCATTCAAGAGAAGCTCCTTTTAAAAGTCTTTATGTATACATTGATAAGAGTAAGTGTATAGAAAAGAATTGGTTATGATTTAAGTTGTCACATCAATATAGTTTCCAAATTAGACAAAATGAACTCCACAAACATTACTTTGTTTATATAATAGCATATGTTTCAGCACTTTAGCCTTTAGAAAAATAAATTGTTTTTCAGAAGTTAGTGATTAATTGAATCGTGGGAGATTTTAAGTTTCTAAATGAAAGATTTCCGTGCACAGTTTGAAAAACACACATTACTTACTTGTTGAAAAGTAACTTTAAATTGGTGTTAGAGATGAATTTTTAAAATAGCTGTACTTGCAGGGATTTGCTGAAGTTCTCGCCTGTGTTTATTTTTGCAGAGAAAGTTTGAAGGCAGTGACAAACATTGAAGATAGAGATGTGAGAAAGAAAAAGGAGGAATATTTAACTTTTAGTCCTCTTACAGTTGTAATATTTGTGGTCATCTGCTGTGTCATGATGGTCTTACTTTATTTCTTCTACAAATGGTTGGGTAAGAAGTCATTTTATTTTTGCTACTTTTGCATACAGTCTTTTCATTGACTCTGCCGTATTTATCATTTCCTTTCTACATTCTAACTAGGCAACATTAACTGAATAAGTTGGTTAGTGTTCCCTGTTTAAATTGTCAGACGTGTTCAGTCTCCGTTGCCCTGGGATAAAAAATATTCAGATAAAAAGCATGCTCAGTCTTGAGATAAAACCCTTCTTGACTGGAAAGAAATGCTGTGGTCTTTCAGTTTCCCTCTCTGCAGATAAAGCATTGACAGCCCAGAATCTGAGCAGTGGATTGAAAACTTCTTGGTGGCTATATTTAGTCACATGAAATAAGAAATTATGCAAATTCTTGATATGTTGTCTCTGGTTATACTCAAAGTGTAGTTTCTCCTTTCGTTAGTTTGCAAATCAAAAATGCTTTGTAATTGAATGTTGCTTTACTTGCTCCATCAGTCAGGACCATCCTGTAGGTGAAGACACACAGTACTTTCCTGTGAGCTAGAGAACAACATAACGTTTTGTCCTTTTGGAAGTCAGTGGTAGGAACTGTAATGACTTCCTTATTCCCTGGATAATCTATCTAATCGTCTCCCAGGATAAAAATTTTCCATCCCTAGTCAGTGTGCAGAGAAACCCTGGTAGTATAGTGAGTCACAAAGACAGCAGTTCAAACTCAACCGCTACTCCATATGAGAAAGATGAGCTTTCTACTCTGGTGAAGATTTACAGTAACCCAAAGGACAGTTCTACTCTGTCCGTAGGTTGCGATGAGTCAGAGTTGCCTCTGTGGCAGTGAGTAAGAGCCAGTGGACAGCCCAAAGAGGAAGGAGAACTACTAAAAAATCTTGTCTGGAATAGAAAACTGAAACTTTGAGTTAATTTCAGCTTACTGTTGCTTTCTCCCCTGGCAGAAAATTTTTTAATGAGATCTATGATATATATACATATGTACACTTCCAATTTAAAAAACTATTCTTATTATATAAATATCACTAATTTCAATTTGTTGCTAGGAGAGGGGATGCTAGAATGTTATTTGTATCATGTTAGCCTTGAGCAGCTAATTTTTCTAATTTAATACTCAGTCTTCAATTGTTTGTATCTGATTATCCAGTGATCTTTGAGAGAAAATAATAATTTACCCTATCCTAAAACTGCCTTCATTTTCTGACACTGCCAATGACACGTGTGATGTTGCAATATTTAATTTACCTTTGAATGGTTCCTTATGGCTAAATTGATACCATTTCTTCATATTCCAAATAAGGAGGTTATACTAGATTGCTAACAATTCCCTTACCATTTATAATTAAATCATGTTTGGAAAGTAACTAATGATGAGTTATAATAATCAAATTATTTCCTATATCTAATCATTTTCTTAGGTATAAGTATGGATATGACACTTAAAACTATTAGGCACCCAAGAGCATGATTTCCACCTGAGTTTTAAAGCTTGGGCAGAACAACTTTGCTGAATGACTTACACAATTTAACTTGGCAATTTTTCACAGCTTACTACTACTCATAGTACTATACACACATACATTCCTCTAATCATAAAAGCAACTACAAATAGCACCTATTAAAGTTGCTTATGGCTGGTCCGAAGGTAGTGAGATCTCACAACGATTGCTTACAGTCAATTACTGGTCGACCTATTTGTCTACCCCCCCTCACTGCTGCACTTGACTAGTCTTAACAAAAAAAAAGAAAAAAAAATAAAAAATAAAATAAAGTTGCTTACATGGCAGGTATCATTCTGAGCACTTTCATATATTAACTTTGTGTGCACTCATCACAATAATCCTAAAATAGGTATTATTACATATTACAATTTAGAGATGAAGAATGTGAGAAACTAAAGAAGTAATTTGTCCCACATTCATTCGAAAGTAGCCCTCTTTGACCTATGCCTCTAGCTTATCTCTTTTTCATCTATAGAGTAAAACTATAGCTTCAGAAGTTTAGTGGAATTTGAAATATTCAGGTTAAATTTATGTTTGCATTGTGAAATTTTAAGTATAATGATTTATCCACTTTTAATAACAGCGGTCACAATATTTTATAATTTAAGTAATTCTCAAATAACTATGGATAATATAGAAAGGTGTGTGATTTCTAACTACCTAACAATCACATCATAAAATGAGGTTATGTTTAATTAGATTTGATTTTACCATGTCAGTTAAGTTTTTAATGATAAAATCCCACCATAGAGAAATATGGGTAGCATCATAGTGGTGGGGGTTTTTATATACTGTGTTTTATTCTTGTCGATAATATACACTGCAGAAATATAGCCAATTCATGTATCTACATGTACACGTCAGTGGCATGCATGACCTTCTAGCGTTGTGTCCCCCTCGCCCTCCTGCTCCGAGAGTTGTTCCTTTCCCAGGGACACAGTTTGCAGCCCCGAAAGTTCCTCTCTGTGCTTTCCATCCTCAGTCCCTAAGGTTCATTTAAAAAGAAATGTTTCTTAATGATTTATTAATTCTTTTTTCCACTTTTTCCCCCACTTTTTCATTTTTTCAATGAAGTATTTTCAGATGTCTGTAACTCACTGTATAGAAATCTTTAATGACTATGTCGGTTTTAATTACTTATTGATGGCACCTAAAGCAGTCCTACCAATCAATGTGTAAGGGACCTAAAGAACCCATGGGAAACCCACTCTTAAAAAACTCAGTATCAGATATTTCTACCTAGTTACCATGTCAGATACAGCAGAGTCACTGCATTGAAAGTGTCTGATTCATTAAGAAGGCTAACCAATTGATAGTGCTTGCTTAAGTATCTTCTTATCATATTTCTTTCTATTCTCATATAATTTAGTGCCTTGTTTTTTTTTTCTAGTTTATGTTATGATAGCAATATTCTGCATAGCATCAGTAACAAGTCTGTACAACTGTCTTGCTGCATTAATCCATAAGATTCCATGTGGACAATGCAAGTATGTATCTCTTATGGGGAATCCTAGACTGTTGGTATTTGTCATTTGAAACAGTGTCAGGAAACAATAGTGTTCTACCTACATGGTCTATCATACATGTAAATAGCTAAATGGAAATTAAGTAAAATGTAATATTTCATTTATCAGTTTCATTAGGCACAGTAGCCCATGTGACTGGTATCTACTTACTGTATTGGGCAGCACAGCTGAAGAACATTTTCATCATCACAGAAAGTACTATTGAAATTAATAAACATTTAGTGTGCATTATTTTATTTAAAATCAAGACTTTGGAATTAGTATTGCAAAAGTTTTCTCATGGCTGTGGCTAGTGTTTGCTTTCTTTATATTAAGTGAACATTGTATGAGAGGGCACCCACCCGCCCCGCCCCCCCCAAAAAAAAAAACAGTGAAAAAAGTTCTGCTGGGTGGAGCTTTTGTAGTATCATTTTTCCCTGCTAGGTGAGGGTTGAGCAACTTGCTCTGAGTTAGTGCACCTAGTGGCTTCACCTGGGGAGGTTCTCACGGTGAGTTTTTTCATGAAAGCAGTTTCACTCAGGAGAAAAAAAATTTTCACTCGAACCTCATTTTTTATAATGACTGATTTAAGAGAACAGCATGCAGCTGTGAAATTTTGTTTCCTGCTCGGGAAAAGTGCTGCAGAAACTATTGTGATGTTGAACACAGCTTCCAGGGACCAGCACTATGGGAAAAACTCAAGTGTACAAGTGGTTTCTCATTTCAAAAAAGGTGAAATGTCGATTGATGGCAAACCTTGTTCTGGATGTCTGTTAATTTCCCAAAAGGACAGAAATGTTGACTCTTAGTGCATTTGTAGTTCGTTCCACCAGGTCAGACTGTTAATCAAACTTTCTATTTAGAGGTTTTGGAAAGATTGCATAACAGCGTGCAACAAAATAGGCCTGATTTGTGGCAGACAGAACTGGTTTTTCCACCATGACAGTGCACTAGCTCATGCAGCCATCTCAGCGTGCCAGTTTTGGGCAAAAACAGCATGCTTCTCTTGTCCCATGCACTTGACTCACCTGACCTTGCTCCATAGGACTTATTTTATTTCTATGAATGAAGAGGTACATGAAAGGACAATACTTTGACAATGTAGAAGAGGTGAAGAAACAAACAAGGGAGGTGCTGTCAGTTATCCAAACAGATGAGTTTGAAAAACGTTTCCATAAATGGAATTGTAGATATGACAAATGCATTAAGTGTAATGGAGAGCGTACATTGAAGGTGATAAGGTTGTTTTGTAAAATAATTTAAATAATAGCTTTGGGGGGTGGGAATCCGGTTTGGGGGTTGGTAACCCCTTTTATTTTATCTGCAGGGTGAAATAAACTGTGACCATCTGTTTTTCAGGTTTGTGTGTCGTGGCAAAAGCATTGAAGTGAGACTTATTTTTCTCTTTGGATTATGCATAGCAATAGCTGCTGTTTGGGCTGTGTTTCGAAATGAAGATAGGTATGAAGATTTTAGTGTTTTTGCTGTTCTATTCTAATTTTGAGTAATTAAACTTTATTTATTTATGTCCGTGACATTTCGTTGGAAAACAAATGATGGTTACCCATTTTGGAGAAACCCATGGGTCTCAACCCACTTTCCAGCTATTGGCCCCTCCCTGTACAGAATAAAGAAAAAAGTCCAAAAGACTAGCAGCACATGCACCTCAGCCGCTGCCACATCCCTGAGACTAGATGAACGAGAAGGTGCCTCACGCCGCTACCAGCCACCCTGAGAGGGGTCCCTCTAGGTCCTGTATAGAGGGGGGGAAAGGCAGAACAAAACTCAAAATTTTAAAAAGATCAGACTTACTGGTTATTCCAGGTCCTTAGTCACCCTTCAGGCCCAGGTCGGGAACTGAACTCACCTCCTTGTCTCAGTCTATAGCCAAACAATAGACAGAGGAATAAGGAGCAAACAGTAGCACTAGGGAGGCAGCACTCCTTGGAACAGTCAATCCTTCTAGATCAAATGGGCAGCATTTATTTGCCCAGGGACAAAGTACAGAAGTCTAAAAGGGTTTGGAAAGGAGGAGGTGTCGAAGCAGGAAACACAAATCATAAATGGAGTGAGCGATGTTACAGAGTGGGGACTGTAAATTAATGATGTGAAGCAAAATGTGTATGAATTGTTGAATGGGAAACTGCTTTACTCTGTAAAGCTTCACTCCACAATAAAGTTTTCAAAGAAAAACACTTTAAATTATGACATTTGAATCTTTGGAAGTAGAGCTAATCTGAATAGGTAAGAAACATCTATGTTTTTTTTCTCCTGCTTTAAGTATTGAATCATGTAATTTTATTGATGAGCTAGGCTTATCAAGATTATCTGGTCTAATTCCTTTATTTTCCTTACCTGTCTCCAGATTCCTATCTATTGTCATTTTTTTAAAAAATTTTCAGTGATCTTGATAGTGCCACTTTTCTTTTTAATAGGTTTTTAAAATACATTTATTTGGAGAAAATTTGCATATAAAATTAGATACTCATTTGACAATTTCTATACATATGAGAGTAAGTCAAAAAGTATTGCTACACACCATAGAACCCTTTACCCAGCAAAAATCAAAATGTGAAGTTATTGGTATGTTCATCTCAGTGCATTTATTTCCAAAAGCAGTGTTTCCATCTCTTTAACCCTGCCCTAAAGAATTCTGCCTTCTTCAGTTTATGCCACATTAAAACAGTCATTTTGCATCTTCTATTGGCTCAAATTGTCCTTTTAAATGTTCTTTGAGTTTTAGGAATAAAAAGAAGTCTGAAGGGGCAAGATCAAGGTGTAGGGAAGATGGAGCCAGGTTTCCCAAAGAAATTCTTAAAGCTCTACCTGTCCTCAAAGAATGAGCTGGTGCTTGGTTCTTGGTGTAAATTGTCCTCACCTTTTCCTAACCCATGTAGTTGTCAGTATTCTTAAAACATATCTGTAATAAATTTTCTTAACCCTCCTGTGTTCATTGAGAAAAACCTATCAAGATTACCCCTTTGGAGTCTCTAAAAACAAGCCTCACAGCCTTCCACCAAGCGGATTTCTCTGTGTTGGGTGTAACTGGTCCAACAGACCCCTTGGACGCATGCCACTGCTGATTGCACCTTTTCTCTGAAGACCTCCTAATGCCTGGAACAAGTGCATTGCTGAGAGAACCTGTCTGAAGCCGCCCTGATGGCAGAGGCATCTTCAAACACGTTGCATTTGGAATAAATCTGTACATGTATGAGTTGGAACTTTAGTAGTAGCAGTACTTTTAGATTTACCTTAGTATTATTCAGTGATGTTGGCGACCCTTTTCACGGTGTGTTGGCATTCTCATTGTTTCCATTCTGGTTACTCTGTTTCCATTGAACTAACTTCTTTGCCCCGCCTTAGCAGCTCATCTTTGGCATAGTGTAAATGTTGACCTGTAGATCCTTTTCAGATGTGGACACAGGATTATTTTATAAGCCACTCTGTCTTTTAGTTTATAGATGGCCACTAGGAGTAGTTTGAGTTCCAAACTTAAAGAGTTTCCACAGCGATAGTCTCACAGTTTCCTCTAGTCTTAATCTGTCCATAAATCTGGCCTTCCCCCCCCCCCCAAGAACTTGAGTTATGTTCTACATTTTTTTCTGTCAGTACATCTAGGACCATCAGTTTTATCCCTGTTTCAGAACAGTCACTGTGGTAGCCAGACACCAGCTTGCTCTGATTATTATAATATGTGGTTTTTTGTTTGTTTTGCTTTCATGTTATATTGTCATCATCTTGAAATAAGCTACTTTGAAAAGCAGATGTTGTGCTAGTGTGTTTAAACTCATATAGAAAAGAAAATAATAGACTTCAAAAATATATTTAATTATGGTACAGCTTCATATTGGCTTTGATGTAGCTATAAAAATAAAACTAAGATAATCTCTATGAACTGATAGGCAGTGATTTTTCTTGGATATTATACTTGGAATATGGTGCTGCCACCTTTTATGTACAAGAGGCAGGGACATGAGAGGATAGCCATTTATCTGCCCATGTGCAGGAAGGACAACCAGAAAATACATGTACTTAAGTTTATCTGATAGCTTATAAATGAAATTATTAAGGACTGAAAAATTCAATGACCTAAAACTTAGAGAGGAAGATTAATGCAATTTTAAGCAACTTTAGAAGCTATGATAACCCCCTGATAATTTGCATATCAGTTTCTCCCCCTTCCCCCACCCTGCCCCCATATCAGTTTCTTTTTAAAAATCATTTTATTAGGGGCTCATACAACTCTTATCACAATCCATACATACATCAGTTATGTAAAGCACATTTGTACATTCATTGCCCTCATCATTCTCAAAACATTTGCTCTCCACTTATTCCCCTGGCATCAGCACCTCGTTTCATATCAGTTTCTTATAGAGTGAGTTGCTTAACTATTTCCTTTGTGTTTTAGCTCTCTGGGTGTATATTAATATCATTATTGTTATGAACTACTTTCTAAAAAGAGATACATGTGTAAATTAAAGATTAAAAATAAGTATGAAAAAAAGTAAGAAGAAAAAAAATAAGTATGAATTTGTTTATCTTACATAGAAGTCTGTGGAGATACCTTCAACATTTTAGTATAATATTTCTTTTCTCTACTGGGGTGGTAAATATATGAAGAATAGGACTTCTTTGCGTTACAGTTGCTACTTTGATAATTAGATAGTCTAATCATAGCAATAGACCAATATTACTTTAATGATATATTTCTTGCGAAGTTTCATCTAATAATAACTGCATTAAACAATGGAGTAATTATCTTTTGATTTTAGGTGGGCTTGGATTTTGCAAGATATCTTGGGGATTGCTTTCTGTCTGAATTTAATTAAAACACTGAAGTTACCCAACTTCAAGGTATGAGTCTATTGCTTCACAAACTAAAATATATTTTCTTTTCAAAGGTACTTTATTAATGTATGGTTTACTTACAATAAAATGCACTCTTTTATGTACATAGTTGAAATTTTTTTTTAATTTTGTAATATGTTTGTATTTAGACCACCAACATAATTACGCAATGCCTTGCAAGGATTAGACATAGTTGAAATTTTATAACTATAATTATGTCACCACTACCGCATTCAAGTTGCAGACCATTTCTCATTGTTTCCAAAAGCTCTGGTATACACCATGACCGTCACTTTCACTCCGTGCCTAAAGTCCTAGGCAACCAACTTTCCTGCTAACATAATTTATTTGGTCATTTATGTAATATGGTAGATTCATTAAATCCTTACCAAATGAAGTACCAAGGAAAGGGCTTTTTTTACACACACACACCCCAGTGAATTTTTATAATAAGTTGATTAAAAAGAAGTTTTAATGTAGTATATAAGATAAAACTACAAATAATAATTATAAAATGTTTTTAAAAATACTATTCAAAAATTTAAAATTGCTTCTTGAATAAGCAATATTAGTCATGACAAGCAATTTAGAGTTGGAAATTTATGAAATATTCAGAGCTCCATAAGTTTTAAGTCGTTAAATACTTACCTGGCAGGAGAGATACCATGATCACGAAGGTGGTTTTCCCAGGGCGAGGCTCACCCATTGCACTCCGGATGTGCTGACCCCTGC